GTGTTTTTTTTACTTGCGAACCACCCAGAGTTGTTGAGAGTCAAGCCGTATATTAAATAAATAAATAAATAAATAAATAAATAACTGAGCTATACCTTTATTTTGATCAAAAGCACTTCCCTGCTTCCTCATCCTAACTTCATGCCTCAATCTAAGTGCCAATTTAAGCCTCTGCAGAGTTCTTAGCAATAAAGAAATCAGTGTCATATATTCCTTTCCCAGAGCTGGAAGCTATGTGTTTGAACTTGCTGATTAGGATTCAGTAAATTTGGTACACTTGGCTGGCATGGAAACAGTGAACGGAAAATCCCAACCTTCCTCCTAAATCTGGTGCCGGGAAAGAGGTTAGAGATCACTGCAAAGTTTATAGGACTATTCCCAGACACCTCTGCAACTCTAGGGAAGTTTAGATTTTACCCCATTCCTTAGAATGCACTGTTGTCATGTGCCCACTTATTTAACTGCTCAAAGGCAAATTACTCCTCCCAATGCAAACACACCTGTTGCAGCCTTAATTTTCTTCTTCTTTCATGTTCTTCTTTCAACAGCTGAGCTTCTTCATTAGGACTAAGTCTAAGTCTTCCTGCCACTTTTCTTCTCATCTTTGGCTACGTTTGCTATTCAGTGCTGCATTACCAAAGACAATAGAAATATACTCAGCCTCAATAGATCTCAGTCAAAAAGGTAACAGGAGTTTATATTAAGGGGAAAAGGTTATTTTATTGGTATCAAGAACGATGCGCAAGTTTTAAAAAAATCTATTGGATTTATAGCTTTTTTTCCTTGGTCTCTGAAATGAATTCTAGAGGTTGTTTTGTTTCTCATTAACAACCTTTCAACCACATCAGTGCCATATATGGACATCTGTATCCAAAGAAAAATACAATGAAAACACAGTACTCCATTTACTTCATAAAAAAAGGTAATCTGGGAGAAAGGCAAGGCGGCTTCTGACCTTTCATACATGTTTTTAAAAGCATTAAATATACATAAAAATGAAACAATGGACATATGTGGAATGGGAATAATGAATTACGTAGAGTATTTCTATTCTGTTTTTCAGACATACTTTCATGTTTTCAAATTTCTCATTTCAAGTACAAGGCACAGAAACGCTGCTCTGAAAAACAGAGCTTTTGAGGGTGGCAAATATTATACACAATTTAAAAGCATCTCAAGGACACATGTATTTTAAAGAAAATGTTCCCCACAACTTCAGCACACTGATGCAAATACTCATGTGGATAAATGGGCACAGGATCATTTAATACGTATTTTTAAAAGAAAAAAATGCTGCATCAACACCTTCAAAAGAAAAGAGCTGCTGAAGAGGGCACTAATGGATACAATTTCAAAAAACACTTTATAATCAATAAACTTCTCAAGATCTTGTTTAATGAATATTTGACACATTCAGAGCATTCCAACAAGATTGCCTTAGCAGCTTCCTAGCCTCATCTGATTGCATAAAAACCAACAGATATATACCTTAAGATTACAAATATAGCTAGACCTTTCCAAAACATTTTCTAGTATTTCAATTAATTGTTATTCCAGCTGTCCTTATGAAAATGTTACCACATATTTAAGAAATGACTAAGCTCCCTTTCAGAGAAAACAGCAGCATATTACCTTAGGCAGTTATCCTGAAAAAAAATACAAAAACAAATATAGGTAGTCCTCAGGTTACAACAGCAATTGGGACCAGGATTGCTGTCACTAAGCGATGCAGTAATACAGCATGACATCACGGGACTGCATTGCTTGGCAATGACAATCCCAGTTGTTGTCATAACCCAAGATGTATGGGTGGTTGAGCAGGAATGGCAGGAGTCCCTTGTAAGTAGCGCAGAGGTGCTGCAAGAGGGTGGGGGTGCTGCTGGGGGGTGGAGGCGGCCCTGGGAGGCCTGGCGCAGGCCATGCATGAGTTGGGGAAGGCTGGGAAAGGCTTGGGAGGCCCAGCATAGGCCGAGCATGAGCACAGGAAGGCTGGGGGGATGGATGGCCCAGTGTGAGCGCAGGAAGGCTGGGGGGATTTACCAGAGCAACTTGCGACTTTCCCTGCTGACTTCCGCATTGATTTTGCTGGTGGGAAGCCAGCAGGGAAGATCACAAATGGCAATCATATGGCTGGCGGATGCTGCAACCATCATAAGTGCAAGCCATTTGCCAAGCACCCGAATTGTGTTCATGTGACTGTGGGGGTGCTGCAACAGCCAGAACTTCAAGGACTGGTCATAAGTACCACTTGTTCAGTGCTGCTGCAACTTCAACAGTTGCTGAATGTGTGGTTGGTAAGCAAGGACTACCTGTAAGGTCCAATTCAAACCCCTGCACTTCTGCAGCAATGCCAATGATTAAGAGGAAACATCCAGCAGCTGCAAACTTACTATAGAAATAAAGACTTGTGGCATGTTGAAGGCTAAGAAATGATATAAACTTTTATAGATTCCAGTCTTCTATACCAGAGGCATGAATAAATCCCTTGATTTTATAAAAAAAAATACATATATCTTAGGTGAGATAAGATGAAAATGAAATACAAGTATCACTTTACAAACAGCCAGAGTTTATGTGTAATAATGATTTCACTAATACAATATACAAACACATATTATGTATATACTCAATATTATATTAACACATCAATGTTACTGAAACATTAATTTTTCTTGACTCTGTTTCCATTTTGTAAACAAATCTTCTCTTTGTAGAAACAGTGCCTTCCAGACAATCCCAGAATTAGGATATAGTTGCTCAGGATGGCTAGATACACAAACACATGGCCTGAGCACACCATTTATGTTAATTTCCTCACTAGTGATTTATACTATCTTGTAATGTTATCCATCATCTTGTTGCAAGAACAGACTTGTCTGGGTGAAGCACTGGGTGAGCAGTGGCCTCTAAGAAGTTAAGCGAAGTTACCCATTACTACTTATTTGATCTTCTCCAATTCTTTCCCCAATGCTTTATTATTTCTGCAGAAACCCAAGTTACAAGTATGCTCACCAATAAAATAGCTAAGGCAATGTAACCAGACATTTTAACACTTGTCTTGAAAAACCTAAGCAGGGTTGGAATGGTTAGTACTTGGATGCAAAATCCCAGTGCTGCAGACTAGATTACAAACCATATGCAAGAAGGGAAAAGCAAACCATTTCTATACTGCTACTAAGAAAAATATATGAAGTAACCAGAAGTCAAACTCAATTTGAGGGAGACTTTGCTTTCACTTAATTCCTGTACAGACACCTTCCTTTCTTTGCTTCCAAAGCCCATTTGGCAGATGCTGCTTATTAGGACTATCCAGCAACCCAGATTCAAAGTGGAAAGGGTGATTTGGCACATCACACCTGATAGCAACTCCTTAAAGAAGCTGCATCTTTTTCTGGGGTACTGCTTGATTTAAGGAGATACCAAAGATGCAATGTGTGTACCAATATGTGTTCCAAATCACCTCTCTCAGATCCAAAAAGGTTTGCTGCAGAATCCGATTGATTATTCACTAATCCCAGACGAAAGTATAAAGAAATTGATCTGTCTTGGCTGGGAGATTAATTTATCAGTTCAACAATTCTGATTATTTTGCTAGTTCTATGAAGTGACCATGTCATGCATTTAGGCACTCTTATGCAACTTTATCTGTTAGCTTTGAAGGTATCATAAATTTCTTTATTGTTGATGGAACAAAAGATGCTACTTCACTGAAACACGTTTAGTATACTGTGAAGTGTGCCTGACTTACTATTTTGTATTGGAGCAAATCTACAATTGTGCTGTCCCCCTTACCCTCTTACAAATGGCTGTGTGCACACAACTCAGGCTTCAATTAAGTTGTTAAATGCTGCACTTCTGAAAATTTGTTAGCCTTAACAATGCCACAAATCTCAGATCTGCAACTGATTTATAGAGATGTCATTTCAAAATTTTTTAAAAAGTTACATCATTATTTTGATGTTACAAAGCCAAACTTAATGGGCACTTGTATTATTGTTTAGTTTAAGAAACTCTGTGCATATTGTTTTATTTATTAGATTTATATCTCACCTTTCCTCCAAGAGCTCAAGGCAAGGTACACAGGGCTCTCTCCTCCCATTTTTCCCAACATAAACCCTGTGAAATAAGTTGAACTGAGAGGATGAGTAGCCCAAAATCATCTAGGGAATTTCTATGGCTTATGGTGAACTTGCACCCGGGTCTCCATGAAAACACTCCAGCGTTTTAACCACTTGACCACAATGGCTATTATTATCATCACCATCACCAACTAAATTTAGCAGAAGACTTCCTGTAAAACCACTTGTCTTTCTTTTACTTCGCTGTAACCCCATGATCCTTTTACACACGGTTTACCGAATTTAGTCCATTTCCTGCGGACACACAAACCAGTGCACAGTAAACCGGGCTGAATCCCGCAAGGTTATAAGGCAAGATCAGCATTCATTATTGCCTCAATTTACGTCCCCTTTTCCCCAAAAGGAGCTTAGAAGGGAAATCTTACACCCCCTCCGATTTTTATCCTCACAACAATCCTGTGGAGTAGTCCAGACTGAGAGAACGTGACTACCCCAGGTTCACCGAAGAAAAGTCATGGCTCAGAGAGGACCCGGACACAGTCCCAGGCTCCCCGCTTCTCAACCCCATGAGGACAGCAGGCCCACGTACGTACCACATCCCACACTCTTCCTCCACCGTTAGGGGCAGCTCTTCAAACAGCTTCTGCTAGGCCGCTTCCGCCTACGTCATATCCGCTCCATCAACTGCCCGCTCATAACGCGCGCCCTCCCGCCTCGTTAGTCTCTCGTCCAATTAGAAGCAGCGGGACCCCGGGCGGGCTCTCGCGGCACAGAGTCATTTTGCGCATGTGCTTCTGTTTAAAAAACAACAGCAACAATTTTTTCACTGCCTAACCACACGCTCCATCTTACGCAGGCGCAGCAACCTCCTCCTTGAGGTACGCATGCGCGCAAAAGGCTTTCTGAAAAACTCGGGAACTGAACAGGCGGAAGTGCGCATGTGTATCAGTTGGACAAGGTTTCAGCCTAGGGGTGATTATAAGGATTTTTTTTTTTTTAAAGAAGGCGAAATTGTAAAATAAGTTTTTCTTCTGAAATTTTCTGCCCTAGGTGGAGGGGACCTGCTGACGGGGAATGGTGGGAGCTGAAGTTGAGGAGTTCTGGAAGTTACCAGGATAGAAAGGCTGAAGTGGGGCTCACTTAACGGGTCTGTGTGGTGGGTTCAGTGATGTCAAAGAGGGTCGTCCATATTTGTAGGATGGGCTGGTTCGTATATTTTTAAACTTTTTACCTTTAAGAGATGCTCTCTGTTCTTCAACAGGCTGCAGAGACATCTGGCCAGCTGCTGTGGGAACCTAATGCATTGGGGCATCTATCTGGAGCTCCCTCGTCATGGCGTCTAGGCCAGAGTTCCCCATCCTGGTATATTTCCCATAATCCCCATCCGGAGCATGCTTAACCTTTCCCCCATGGTGGTATGCCAGAGGGGTGAAATCTAAAACAAAGACAAAATCATCTCTTATTCAAATAACAATATTATTATCATTATTATTCTGCTGGGATTATTTCATTTGCTGTTTCTGTCTGGAATTAGGGAGTGGATGTCATGCTCTTCTCCTGCATCAATACTGCAGCCGCCACCTTCTTTATTATCTTTGAGATGTTGGCTGAAATGCCTCTTGTGACTTGAGGACTGTTCTGATCATGCTTCTTTTTCTTCCCATGGTTCTGCTCTCTGCAGTGATACTGATACATTTCTAAATTTGCTATACCTTTGTCAGATTTTTGATCGGTTTTATAATACGGTACAATTTTGGTTAGCTGCCTTAAAAACCTTCAATCGAAAGTGAATCAAGGAAACGACAGTTTCTTTGAGTTGAGCTGTGCTTCTAGTGACTTCATGGGCAACTTCATGTTGTTTCCTGGGCAACAAGATAAATTGATCTGCCTTCTGATTTTAATTTAAACTTCCCAATCTAGTTTACGGACTTGGTATTTCCTGCTAGTTTCTCATCAAGTATTACTCAGGTCTCACCTTGCTTATCTTTTGGAGATCAGAGAGGGTCAGTTTGGTGCTGCCAATCAATAAAGCAGTGGTAAAAAGCCCACTGCAGCAAAGTTAGTGTCTTAGATTGAAAATTGAAAATCTAAGAAAAGTCCAGAAAAGAAAAACTGACTGATTATTTCTTGCAGAAACTCTGGAATTCTCCTCTGTAATAAGTAGAATTTGGACTGACCTGCAGCATTTGCGACCAGGTTCTGAACAGTAATCAATGCATTTCTTCTAAGAGGTGGGTACTTAAACATAAAAGTCTACTTCTGCAGTAAACCACAATTCAGTTATGTGTGAGTAAATAATTGAACTTTATGAAGGCTATTTTTAAGTAGATACGTGTAGCATTTTGTAGCCATAGTACATTCTACTCCATGTCTACTTATAAATAAAATTCATTGAGTTCAGTGGGACCTATGTCCTGGTAAGGTTTTATAGATTTGCATCCTTATTTTGAAATCATTCTGGAAGCAAATGGAAAGACTTGCCATTTTAGATATGAAGTATAATGGGAGTTACAGAAATTTTAAATCAGTGAGCTGTGAGTGGTTTTTGAATACCCTTTTGAGATATATTAGAATAGATATAATACAATATATTACAATAATATATCAGTTACTAGAGCATCACTTCCCTAAATGGTGTTCCCATTTATTTCAAACAACATTATTTTAAATAGCTGAAAAGATGAGATTTGGTACTTTTTTTTTTGGTCATCTGACCCATTATATAAAAATGCTGGAAAAGTTTTCTGAACAATGAGTTAGGAGCAGTGCTCTGTGTCTTCTTATTAAATAAAGTGACCTCTGTTGATTTTTTTCATTTAACATATTTAATTTCATATTAGTAACCTGCACTTGCTCACAAATATTTCTTCTTTCCCTATCATCCCAGCTGGCAATATTTTAGTTTTAAATTCTTTGAAGTTGAGACCTCTTGACGAAATGGAAGTTGGTTGGTTACTTAGCTTCTACTGCTGTGTGACATACCCTGTGCGCAATTCAGTCAACTTAATCACTTGGGAATCCCATTATTTCAGTGGGAAAATTTAAATGCTTTTAAATCTCGGGGTGACTTCAAAATACTTTTTGCTTGATTGTCTACCATGGATATTGGTTTTAATGTTTTATTTATCATGTATAAACATATTATTTTCTAGGGCTTTTATAAAGGTTTGTAAAAATTGCAATCACTATCTGCAATATTTATATAATTCTGTTTTCTCCTTCACCTCCAATTTTTTAAAGGAAAAAAACAGAGGTCTTGATAAGTTTTGTTTACTTTGAGAATAAATGCTAAATTCTCACTAGAGGGTTTCAGAGTTGTCTGGTGCTTAACATTCAGAGTCCGCCTTCCCACTTAAGTATACTGTATGTGTACTGCAAGTACAGCTCCCAGAATTCATTGCCCCCTTGAGTCACAGTACTTAAAATACTGGGACCTGTTAACCTCAATAGATAGATTAGAGAAAACTGTTCTGAATAGAAAGAGGATGGCAAGAACACCTCACCTGCCTGATTACTGGGCTATAGGTTTTTGTATTTTTGTTTGTGTGTATCTTTTCTTGTAAGATAAAATGCTCAGCATAGGGGAATTTTATTTTTTCTTTTTACACTAAATGAAATATTAAGGAAGTGTTTTATTTAGTCCTTAGATCATTACTTCATTTCTTCGGTTTTTAGACTCCTCCTTTTCTTTCTAGAGTTTCCTGGATCTGAAAATGAACAAACAGAAGAAGACCATGTATGATGAGCAGTCTGAAAATCTTGATCAGTTTGGCACAGATATCATTGCTGAAATTGAAAAACTGTTTACGAAGACATTTTTGTACACCAAACCACCCAACAATGAATGGCAGTTGCCTGATCCCAACCAAGTTTTTACCTCCAATCACAAGGCGTTCAGTTCTCTTGTTGCTCTCAAGGATTCCATGAATGAAGTCAAGAACAAACTCAGTGATAAGCAGCTGGATGAGTGGCATCAGCACACCTCCTTCACCAACAAAGCAGGGAAAATTATTGGCCACATCAAGAAATTGGTCAATGCTGAATTATGCACTCAGGCTTGGTGCAAATTCCACGAGATCCTGTGCAGCTTTCCTCTCCTCCCAAGTGATGCTCTTCAAAATGGCGAACTCAACTCAGTTCATTTATGTGAGGCACCTGGTGCCTTTATAGCCAGCCTCAACCATTATCTGAAGTCTCACCGTATCCCCTGTGATTGGAACTGGGTCGCCAATACCTTGAATCCGTATCATGAAGCGAACGATACCCTTATGATGATTATGGATGACCGACTTATTGCCAACACTTTGCCCTGGTGGTATTTTGGTCCAGAGAATACTGGGGATGTCATGACCCTAAAACACCTTACAGGGCTGCAGCACTTCATAAGCAACATGGCCACTGTTCATTTGGTCACCTCTGATGGGAGTTTTGATTGCCAAGGCGATCCCGGTGAGCAAGAGACACTGGTTTCTCCATTGCATTACTGTGAAACTGTCACTGCTTTAATGACTTTGGGTCATGGGGGCTCCTTTGTTCTGAAGATGTTTACTTTGTTTGAACATTGCTCAGTTAATTTGCTGTTTCTACTCAATTGTTCCTTTGAGGAGGTTCATGTTTTTAAACCTGCTACTAGTAAAGCTGGGAACTCTGAGGTCTATGTGGTTTGCCTGCGCTATTTGGGCAGGGAGGCCATTCACTTCATCTTATCTAAGATGATGCAGAACTTTGGGACAGAACTGGTGGCAAAAGCTCTATTTCCCCAAAACTTAATTCCAGAGTCTTTTCTTAAAGTTCATGAAGAATGCTGTTTATTCTTTCACAAGCACCAAATAGAGACAATTTCAGAGAACCTCCGACTCTTTGACTGTATGGGCGAGGTGGAGCAGGCCAGGCTAAATGCTTTGCGGGACTGCTCTGTAGATTTCTTCTTGCAGAGATTCCAATTAAAACCTATTGCCCGAAACAACTGGCTGGTGAAGAAGCCTCATGCTGGCTATAGCATGAATTCCAAATGGTTTGGACAGAGGAGCAAATATTTCTGTACCTACAATGAGAGAAAACTGCTGGAGTCCCTGTCATGGGAAGATAAGGTGGTAAAGGGATGCCTTAACCAGTGGGTTGATGAACACGTTCTCAGTAATGTGGGGAAGGGCTGTGTTTTAGAAGGAGCATCTGGCAACCTCGACTGTCGTTTATGGTATATCTTGGAAGGCCAGCGATTGCCAAGAGTTAAATTTTCTCCCTTCTGTGATGGTGAGGTATTGAAGAGCCTCAATGAAGCCATTGAAAAATCTTTAGTTGGGCAGGCTGTTAATGGTGGCCTTATAAGAATGACATATACAGAATGCCAATTTTGCTATGTTCTCACAGCATCATCGGTGCTCTCTGAATTATCAGAACTTATGGAATATCATGAAGAAGTTCCAGATAAAAATTGCATGAACCAAAGAAAATGCTTGGTTTTGGGTTTCCCAATGTTTTGCGATGATGAAAGTAGATCTGGCTTGGAAGTTAAAACCGTGGAGTCAGCATCTCTATTGGCTTTTAGCTGCTCTTTACTCCATGACGGAGAACCAAAATATCAACTGCATTTTTTAGAATGCCTTTTGGGTGCATTTCCTCAGCTTCAGAAAGGAGATGCATTGGTTTTGCCTATTCTTTCTTGTTTCACACGCTTTATGGCCGGTTTAGTTTTCATATTGCAGAGCTGTTTCCGGCGCATTTCCTTTGCTTGCCCCACATCATCTCAGCCTTTAAGGACCAATGCTATGTTGCTTTGTGCTGGATACCAAGGTCTTCCAGATTCAGTTTTCCAATACCTGCAGCAGCTGAATAAACTTATGAGAACCCTGCTTGACTCAGAGTCTCCACAGCAGGTCTTGCAATTTGTACCTATGGAGAATCTGCTGAAGGGGTTGTTGTTGGAGTTTCTATGGGACCTCAACAGTGCTATTGCAAAAAGACAGTTGCATTTGATTATCCAAATTGAGCAGCAGCATATGACATGAGGAGGATACAGCTCCTCTAGTTTGGCTAGTCAGAAGTATTTTTTTAACCATAGAGAACATGTTTTAGTGTTTGCTGAAAGATGTCTCATGAACTGCTGGGGAAGAGGAAAATGTACAGTTTAGGCAGGAGTGGATAATCCATGGACCTCGAAGAACTGCTATATTATATCTCTCAGCTGCCCCAGCCAGCCTGGTCAGTAGTGAGGGATGCCAGTGGGAACTGATTAGGCAATAACTGGATCACCAGTTCCCTACTCTTCATTTAACTAGTAGAACCTCTGATTCTAATCCAGCTTTCTCCAATATGGTGTTTTCCATGTGTGTTGGGAGTCCAAGAATTACAACTTAGAATTTGGAATTACAACTTAGAATTCCCAAAAGTAGACCATGCTGACTGGGACATCTGAGAGCTGTAGCCCCAGCGTTTATGGAGGATGGCTGGGGATGATCACCTTGACAGAGCTTGTCCGAGGTTGGCACATTCATGTCAGTGAATGTATGAATTGGTCACATATCAGAGGGAATCAGCTAGGTATTTTTAATTGACCAGAGCTCTACAGTGAGAGCAACTATCATAAATCAGTTATGCTTTAAGAAAACTGAGCAGCTATTTTAGACTATTGTACATGGTTTTGTATAACAATACTAAGTATCACATTCCAACTTTGTAAAAAAAAAAATCCATTTCTGATCTTTTCTTCTTTGTCTCTGTCAGCTCTAAAGCCATATTAGGTGAATTTGCAGTAGATAAGTCCAGGGATGATCCCAAGATCTACTTAAAGTTAGCCACAAAGCATGAACCTGCTGGCTTTCTTCACATGACATGGTAACTATGGAACATGGTTAATGTGGCTGTATTTTCATGCTTGTTAACAGCCCACTCCTAGGTCTATGTGTAGCTCTTTAATGAAACTTTGTCACATATCCTGTGATGCAGACTTGAGATGGCTGCCATTTTGGATGTTGGGAAAGTTGTTTTATAACTTAAGTTTGTTGTAGATTGTGAAAACTGATTTCTAGGATATCCAGGCAGTGACCATTTTGGGTCCTCACAGGGTGGTAAAGGATAAATCTTGACTAAAGAGCTGAGCACAACAGTAATTAGGCTATTCTATGGCCAGAGCTTTTGTCAAGGAAGAAGTAGCTTTGCTTCCCCAGTGATTTTATTTTAAATCATGGGGAATAATGCCAGCATTATTTAGTTTTTAAACAATTCAGACTTAATGAAGCTGGACTGACTTGATATACATTTGATGAATCACTGCATTAGTCCCCATGAAAAGCAGACCAGTTCATGTATCAGAGCATCCAATTTTTTCTTTGTTTCAATGGATTTGGTGTGAGCAATCAGGGTGGGAGTGCAAACTGTGGCTATCAACCATTGAGAACTTTCAGATGGTCAGAACATTTTTTTCTGATATGGGAAGTAGCTTAAAGCTTTTCCCTCTGTATGCAAGATAAATTTAAAATCAAACAGAGGCCTTCAACCACAATCCACTTGGGTTCCCCTGCAGAGCAGTGTTTCCTAACCTTGGCAACTTCCAAAGCTGTAAACTTCAATTCCGAAAATTCTCATCTACGGCCACGCTGGCTGTGGAATTCTGAGATTTGAGGCCCATACACCTGGAAATTGGCACAGCTGGAAAGGTGCTTTAGAGACCCCAGCAGAGTTTTTGCAACAGAAATGCAATACTTCATTTTCAAGGATTCAAGCTTTCTGTGAATTGTGCTCCTGATATAGCCATGGCCTTAAACTCATGTTCAGTGACAAATATGGCTCCGAGCCCTCTTAGAACTGCTGCAGACTTGTATGAGATAAAGCACAGTATACGCTTAAGATCACATTCCTTCTCACAAATGCAGAGTAAATATATGGAAAAGATTCTGGGATTGTCCAAATGTGGTCATTGAGCTGGCCTGGCCTTGCTTTTCATGCTTCGCTTATTATAAAATAATCTTTTTAAGCCCTCCAAACAATGGTTGATGTTTTGAACCAAATGCCTGCAAGTCTGCAGCCTAATTTCAGTCAGTTCTATGTGACCATTTCTTATGTTGCTGGAAAAAAAAAGATGCTGCTGCTTTAAGAAATGCATTCATGGAAATGAATGCAAACTTTAAAGCAGTAGCACCTGTTTTTCATACTGCTTGCTTTTGACCAAGGTCTGAAGCACTTCTGGCATATATGTTTTGAAGTATGTGCAGAGATCAAGAATTGTGACAGTGCTTGCCAATTAAATGGGGGCAGGGGCGGGGAAGTGTTGGAAAATAATTGCAGACCATGGTAGGAATAATATTGGGTAATAATACAGGAAAAAGAATATTGTCTGGTTGATAGGCTTATTCTAAAAAGGACCTGTTCCCATTTAATGATTTAATTCTGCTGAGCTTCCTGTCTTAGGCAGTCACTAATATATATTCAGTGGGGCTATAAAGCTGCATGTTCAACCTCTAAATCATAGGCTTCCTTTTGGCTTTTATGAGTTGAGCGAGAATTCCTGTGCATTTCAGAACTCAAATACCTAAATCATGCAAGATGCAGCTTTGACAAGGATTTTACTGTGGATTTGAAAAAACTGCTGTCAAAAAAGTTGTTTTACAACATATATATATAAGGGGACTGGGAGGAGGAGTGACTGAATGCTTGACCTCACAAGCACCTTTCTGCTTACGTTAGAAAGCAGCCTGCTAAGGAGTTGTGTCATTGGTTCATCTGGTGTGCTGCTGTCAACAGTGACCCACTCTCCATGCTGCCAAGCAGAGTTTGTAAATTAGGCATACAAATTGTGTGGTCTGTGATTACATAGGGCAGAGTTCTTGAACCTGGTGCTGTCCAGGTATGCTGGATTACAACTCCCAGAATTCTTAGCCAGCTCAGACAAAGGTACCTGGGCAGTTCTTGCCCATTCTGTTAGCACTGTCAACAGCTGGGAATAGTACACCATTGCATTAAACAATAGGTTGTTGAAGGAGCCACAACTGACCAGATTTGCATACATGCTGGCTGGGGAATTCTGGGAGTTGAAGTCCATGCATCTTAAAGTTGCCAAGTTGGAAAAACAGTGAACTAAGGCATGTCATGATTTACACACCACAATGGCTGTGTGGCATTGATGTTTTAATTCAAATCTGTCGATTCTAACAAGAAGCTTGTGATATTCATCCTTAGTTTTAAGTTTTGAAGCCCAAAATCACACCACTGATATTTAGCCACATCACTGCCAAGTTTGGATGGATTAGTTTTGATCCAATGTTCAGGTATGAGGGAATGTTTAGGATGGGAATGGGAATTCTTATAAAACCCAGATGCCTGGGGCTTCTGTTCCCTCTTTGGGGCAGTTATCTCTCAGCCTGAACTACCATGCAGGATTTCTATTATATAAAGCACCCCGAACTCATTATGAGAGATGTGGGATAAAAATATAAAATAAAATATTTATTCATTACTTTTATAGCCTCTCTCTCCATTCAAAATGGCTATTAGCATGGCTAACAATAATAAAATACCAATGACAACTGAATCATAATTAAAACATAAAAAGAAATTCATTAAGCATATATAAGTAAACTTCCCATTTTAAGATTCTCACTTAAATAAACCCGCTATCTTTTCTACTACAGCAGTTAAGAGTTTTGTGGAAATAACGGGCAACGTATAAATGTTCTCAGTCTCCGGAGGCAAATGGAAGAATGTCAGCTAACAGAAGCAGATGCATAATTGTTGACTTCTCTACACGTTGGCCCATTCTTCCCCCAACAGCCACCTTAAAGGCTAGAAAACTGCATAGCAACCATAAAAGGAATGCTTCTTTAATTATAATAATGTGCACGATTATATGCAATAAATAGGCCAATTAACTCTCCATGCACTGTGCTTGCAGCTGTTAGGAGCTGCTCTTGAATTATTGCACTCAACAGTATGTTCTGCTGGGTGGCAGGCTTCTTAAATTAGAGGACCTTTTTTGATGAAATATGTGCCATCAGGTCGGTGTCAATCCTTAGCAACCACATAGGTAGATTTTCTTCAGGAGGATCTGTCCCCAACCTGGTCCTTCAGGTCTTCCAACGCTGCCCCCATCACCACTATAATTGAGTCCCTCCACCTCGCTGCTGGCCATCCTCTTCTTCTCTTTCCTTCCACCTTTCCCAGCATTGTAGACAGAGAGCTGGGCCTTCACATAATGTGTCCAAAGTAGGGCAATTTGAGCCTGGCCGTTTGTGCCTTGAGAGAGATTGGAAGACCTCTTAAGAACAAATTCGAAATCTATCAAAACAGCAAATGTCACTTACCTAAACAAGTCTGAAATTATTTTTATGCATACTTCTATGAGCAGGAGAAGATGCTCAGATTCTGTACGCGTGTGCTTGATTCACTGGCTAGTCATATGAGATGGGTACCTTCCCCGTTCAACTTCTGTGAGGCTACAATATCTGAGCTGCATAAACTCATATAGCCAGTAGATGGCAGCAAAGAGATCTTTACTGCTATGGTATCTAGCACGTGCTCAGATGTTTTCTGTATAGCCATTTTGCTTTGTCCCAAAATTTTGGATTATTTTTATTTATTAAACACTTTTAATAAACAGTTTGTCATATGAAAAAGATCATAAAATAGCAGCAGTATTATTAAATCAGTTCAAAACCATAAATGTAAAGTTTTCTTGCTTTCACAGTGTTAGAACTTTGAGAAAGGGTAGGTTATGAAAAGAAGGGAGCTAAGATGTAGCCTTAGGATAAAAATTTTTAGATTTTTTTTTAATTTAGATTTTTTAGATTAAAAAAAAATTGAATGCATCTATAACTGCTGTAAAGAAGATCAGAAGCCTTTTTTTATATTTTGTCTTTTTCTCTTTCTCTTTCTCATTTCTTTATTATTTTCTCGCCACTTTTCTTTTACTTTCCTTTCTTTTCTTTTTCCTTTAAATGTTTTTATTCTGTAATTTTTTAATGCAAATTAATTTAAAAAAAACGTTAGAACTTTGGATCAGCCATTGAAGCTATACGTGGGGAGATTCAGAACTGATAAAGAAAAGACTGCTTTACAAAATGTAATTTGCTGCCATTAGAGCTGGTGGAGGCTACCAGTTTAGATTATTTTAAAAGAGATAGATTAGGCTATCAGTGGGTACTAGTCTTGATTATTAATATAGTAATAACAATACTTTATAGATTAGCCATTAGGCCATATCAGAATACAAAATACAGAACAATAATAAGACCTTGTGTTACAAAATAGTAAAAGGCAGAACTAAAAGGAAAAGCAAATCATATTTCTGTGTCATCCCTACAATTCGCCCCAATCAGATTCACATTGTAGTTCTCAATTGTACTGTTTTGTTCAGATAAAGGCTCATGTTATGTGCAATACTTGGGTTCTGACTGCATATGAAATATGTGGTTTTAATGTAAGAATTGTCCAATGTGCAGTCCACAATATCGATCTCTTTCTTATATAGGTGACATTCAAATAATTTAAGTGCTATGTCCTCTATCTCAGAGCTCCACAAATACAAGTACGTTCATCGTAAGGAACTTGGTTAAACCTCCCATATTTACTCATTGTGTCTAGCTACTCAAACCTTGCTCGAGTAAATAACCCCCTAAGATGCTTTGGCATTTCTGGGTTTAACTATTTTGCAATTAGTTGTCATCGTCGTCGTCATCATCATCATCATCATCATTGTCTTCCTGAATCACAAAGAGCATATTTTAAGTATTAGGGTTTGCACTTCGGACTTTGTACAAGTATGACTAATTTTTAAAGTGAACCCAACTCTTACACTGTCTTGAAATTAAAGGGTCATTTCAAAATTCACATCTTTTATGGGGTATTTTTAAGCTATTGCTTAAAACTACAGGTAGTCCCTGGGTTAAGAACACCTGGGTTACAGACGACCCATAATTAAGAATAGAGCCTATTGTAGCAAAATTTGAGTTAAATACACAATAGTTTGAGTTCATTACACAATACTACTTATATACTATTATATAATAATACTGTTCCAGCTTACATACAAATTCAACTTAAGGACAGACATTGGGAATGGAACTTGTTCTTAAAATGGGGGCTACCTATATGCCAAAAAGAAGTCAACTGGATCTCCCTGAATAGAAACTCCTGCAACTTAAGTTCCTACCAACTTCCTGGTGACGAGATATGATTGTCAGACCCTTGAGGACATCACAGTGGAGAAACAGGCACAGCAGGGATTCCAGAAATGCTCTTTTGTTGTAAGATAGAATAAAAAACCCTCAAAAGCCTGTCATAGTTTCTCTCTACTACATCTTATACCAAACAAAATCAAGGCAAGGTGGTGGTTTGTTCATTTGTTCGAGTTTTTTTCTCATGCTTTTCTCTTTCTCAGGACAGAATAATCTTTTCTCCTCCATTAATAATTCATTGCTCTCCTCTCCCTTCCCAAGGCCAGGTCTACATTCTTCCATAATGATATGGGTTTGGACTGGTAAGCTCTTACAAAAACCAAAACCAAGGACTGTAGAGTTCAAGGTCAATTCTGTTTTGGCTCATCTTTAGGAAAGAAATTGAAGGCCACCAAGAAATGGCATTTCCAACCTCCCAGAAAGATTACTGCATAAGGAGAGTCCCCTGAGATTATCTATCAGCCAGAATAGGAGCAGCTGCAAGGAGCTTGCTTCGACCTTTTCTGGAGAAAGAATACTTAAAAAACATTGTTATACAGTAGTTCAATTAAAACCTGAGTCTGTGTTTGCTCTACTCTGTTTCCTTCTCACCTCTTTATACTGTGGTTTTTAAATGGGATAGAAACCTTATTACCCTTTGAAAACAACAGTCCTTTAAAAATGGTGTAAATGATTTAAATAATGATCAAACTAATCATATAGCTATATTTTCTGTCTTCACTTTTGCAAAGAACCTCTTAATCCTTGTGGCAAGCAAGTAGATGGTGGTGTTTATGCTTGCTGTTATTATTTTCTCCCTCCAAATACATTAAGGTTGGAATCAATGACTTGGCTGGTTTAACAGCAGGTGTGATTTGTCCAGAGTATAGTAAAAGATTGTTCAAAAAAGCCTCAGGTGACAAACTGATAGGCAGGGAAGTTCAGTACCTGTAGGTCCATCTGGGACCAGTATGGCACAGAGAAGATTATGACTTGGAATGTAAGAGGAGTTAATTGTGAAGAACATGAATTAATGAATGAAATAAAATAGGTATGTTGTGTATTTGAGAAAGTAAGAGAGATGTAAGGGATCTGATTGAAGTTGGCCTGACTATGTGAAATGGAGTTGATGAACTCATGCCAGAAAGTGAAGATGGAGGTTCAATTATGAATGAAGGGGCTAAAATTTAGGTTATATTCTAACCTAATTGAACATGAAATGAATTGGTGTCAGCTAGAGTACCTAGGATGTGTATGAAAACAAAAATCTTCAGGTTTCTGATAGTTATTCTCCAATGAATGGAAGAATAATAGAAGAACCTGGAGTGATGAATGTTGAGAAAAGTTGTGCAAAATAGTTAATGAATTCAATCCAGTGGAAAAATTATTCTGTTAGGCAACAAATGAATGAGTGGAAGAGATGTAAGAACATAGAATAAGTGATTGGGACATTCCAAGACTTAAACATAAGTGAGAATGATGATTGGTAAGCAACTGTTCAATAAAAAGTTCTGCTTATTTTTGAATATTGAAGCCATCAATATATTCATGCATGTATATGAAAAAAATGAATTGAAAAAGCATATTTGATATAATTGTGTGATGAAAAATGGAGAGAATTAGTGAAAGATACAAGAATGGTGAGAGGTTTAGAATGTGGGTCATATCATTATTTGATAGGGTTAGGGTTGGGAAAAATGAACATGGAAGAAAAACTAGAAGAGAAACAAGAGTGATGGTTGAATGACCCTGTAGCATGAGGCAGTATAATGTATTAGAAAAAGGTTAATTTCATTAATTTCAGAATGCATGAAAAGTAGACATAAGGAAAGACAACGTGGAAGCTACTTGGGTAGAAGAGAATTTGGGTGCCACCAAGGAGTGTGGAGTTACATTAATGGAACTCTAAAAAATGATTCTTGATGGAACAATGACGTGAAGGAGGATGTGGATGAGAAAGAAAATCATTTAAGAAAATGACTGGCAAAGCTATGGATGAGAGAAAGGTATTGCATAATGTGTATAGAAAGAAAAAGATTGTTGCAAAGAATGTACTGCATACAAAGAGCAAGGAAAGGTTAAGTTTAAAAGGCAGAGAAAACACAGATCAATTTTGATGGAAATAAAAATGGGAAGTGGGTGAAAAGGGCTAAGAAGATGCCTCCAGCAGAGTAAATAAAAGCAATGAAATGACTTTAAAGAAACTGATGTGAGGGAATGCTGGAAGGAATATTTTAGAGATTAGTAGGAGAGCGATAGTGCTGGGTAAAAGAAAGGTATGGAGAGAAATAGCAAAAAGTATTGCAAATTAGATTTAACTATATTTCTTTTGCTCATCTCATGTTTTTAATTTCTTGTGCTTAATAGCTCTTACTCCTTTCCTGCATTTTGCATAATATTGTTTATTCAGAATAGGAATACCACGGTGGATATGCAGGTATGTATGATCTTTGACATCAGTCCCAGGAATGCATTTCAATGTGCTGCAGTAAACTTTCTCATCCAAAACAGGGCAGACCTTTATGATTGATTGATTAACTGACTGATCTCATTCCAAAAGTTTATTTCCATGCCTTTTTGAACATACAGGGTGGAGTGAGGGATGTACAATATGAGCAACAATTTAAAACAAAAGTTAGACTTTCAGCAACATGCTGAGCCAGGAAGTTTTATATCTGCAAAGTAGTTGCAAAGTAATGCTGCTATTGGTAGAAATTCCAGGGAAAAATGGAGACACAAAAAATATATTGATCTCCTTTAAAATATACTGCAGTTGTTTCTCTTTGGATGGGTAATCATTACAGGTTTTCATAGTGGAAATGTTTTAATTAAGAAAAGATTATAGTTCTTTTCCATGGAGAGCAAACAGATTCTAAACTAGATGAGCCAGATGGGAAGTGCTAAGGGTTCTAATCAAGGGCAG